AACTACACCTCCCCCTGCTCACCTGTCTCCCACTTCTTCAAAAGGGAAAAGGGAAACCGGAAGAATGATTTTATTTTACAAATGTAAGTTTAATATTTTATTGATTTTCATGTTTTACATATTATTCAAAACTCATTTGATTTTTTTTTTATTAAATTTTGGAATCGGATCGATGGGGGTGGTGGTGGTGGTGGTGGGGTGGTGGCAAAGGGTTAAAGGTTAGAGGTTAAATTTCCATCGGAAAAAAAAAATTTCGTTCGTTCGTTCGGTCGTTTTTTTTCAATTTTTTTTTTTTTTTTACATTAGAAAAGGAAAAAAAAAGAAAAAAAATTTTCCTTTGATTTTTTTTCTTTTTCTATCGAACCGGAAAATTCATTCGAAAAATTAAAAAAAATTTTTTTTTTTTCTTATCGAAAATCCTACGTGATAAGAAATATATCTCGATTTTCATTGGGAAAAACTAAAAAAATTAATTCTTAATAAGGTTCGGAAAATTTTTTGAAGTGAAAATGAAAAAAACGTGTAACGAATGATTTTTCTTTTTTTTTTTTTTCACTTCATGCAATCGCTACACTACAACAACAAATCAGTAAAAATTACAAACAAAGATCAAATATCGATGTTTCATAAATAAAAATTTATTGGAAAAATCACGTGACACGATCGCGAGGGACATACATATATATATATATTATTAACACAAAATAAATTTTTCTTCTTTTTTTTAAAAAAAAAAAAAAAAAAATGAAATTTTCCATCGTTTTTCTTATAAGTTTAAAAAAAAATTTTTTGCGACCTCGTTTTATCTTCTGCTACTTAAATTTATTTATTAATAATATTTATTATTATTATTATTATTATTATTATTATTATTATTATCTTTTATCTACCGCGATAAAGTTTTTGTTTTCTTATCAATTATTTAATGTGTAATTTTCAATCGTTTCTAATCAACGTTATTTATGCCGTTGAATTTTATCAGAGAGAGAGAGAGAGAGAGAGTGAAAGAGCCAGATAGACTAACAGAGAAAGAGAGAGA